AATGCAATTTTGGGGGTCAATTTGTGAGATAATCATAAAAGTTATTTAGGAAAATGATAAAGGAATTAATTACTTACAATCTGATACCAGAATGGTCCTTCTACGATGTCAGACTCCAGGTGCAAAAATCCCTAAAACCATCAAAAATTAGTCCTTCGAACATAAAAAATGCAATATTTGGGGTCAATAATTGTATGAGATAATCACAAAGTTAATTAGGAAAATGATAAAGAATTTTAATACCTACATATCTTGATGCAAGAATGGTCCCTTTATGATGTCAGACTCAGGTGCTAAAAAATCCCTAAAACAATCAAAAATTAGTCCTTCGAACATAAAAATGCAATTTTGGAGGTCAATTTGTTAGATAATCATAAAAGTTATTTAGGAAAATGATAAAGGAATTAATTACTTACAATCTGATGTACCAGAATGGGTCCTTCTACGATCTCAGACTTCAGGTGCAAAATCCCTAAAACTATTTCCAAAACTTTAGTCCATCATTCAAACAAAAATGCAATATTTGGGCAATTTGTAAGGTATTCACAAAAGTTACTTAGGAAAATGATAAAGAATTTAAATACTTACATTCTGATGCAAGCAACAAATCCTCCTACGATGTCAGACTCAAGTGCAAAAATCCTAAAACCAGCAAAAATTAGTCCCCTTGAGCATTAAAATGCAATTTTGGGAGTCAATGTGAAATAATAATCACAAAAGTAAATAAAGAGAATGATAAAAAGAAATTTATTACTTACAATTTGATGCGAGAATGGTCCTTCTACGAACTCAGACTCAGGTGAAAAATCCTTTAAAATCATCAAAATTAGTCCTTCGAACATAAAATGCAATTTTGGGGCCACATTTGAGAGATAATCACAAAAAAGTTATTCAGGAAAATGATAAAAAATTCGAAGTTACCTACACTTTTGATGCAACGTCCTTCCCTGCTATGATGTCTGACTCAGGTGCTGCAAAAATCAAGCAAAACACATTAAATAGTAGTCCTTGGAACATAAAAATTTAATTTTTGGGTTAATTGTGTGAGATAACCGCAAAAGTAAATTAAGAAAATGATAATATTTATCTGTTCGGATCTGACGCCACACAGTGTGGCGAAACATGTCGTAAGTGGTAAAAGTTATGCACAAAACCCTTAAGGTTTATCCTTTCTATCAACGGAAAATTAGCTCATTCGAAATACATAAAAATGTACTTTTGGGGTCAATTAATTAGATAATCAGAAAAGTTATTTAGAAAAATGATAAAGAAATTTAAATACTAGTAATGTGTTAAAAGAATGGTCTTCTTCGATGTCAGGACTCAGGTGCAAAATCTTGCAAACAAAAAAGTGTAGTCCCTGAAAAACACGACGACGTTACGCACGCAGCGAGCGCCTTGCCAGGGCATCGTAAGCTACCTGCGATCAAACTAATCTAAGATGCGCCAACATGCGGCGTGAGGGATGGCAAAGGCAACCGACGGAACTCTCGTGAATCTCATGCCTTGCATTCCACGCGGCCGCAGCGATAAGAAAATAATAAATTGTGATAAAAACAAACACAATTCTCGTGCTGAATGCCCACGATTGCAGATAAATATAGAAATAAAGAATACAATTCTATTTTTATGATTTTTAGTTCATGCGCGTGACATATATGAATGAATGACCATCTCCCTCAAATTTAGTTTAAAATAAAAAATTAAAATACGACTTATATAATAATAATAATGTAATTTCGTATGATTGCCCTCGCTTTCTTATAATAATTGACCGTACGAAGGTAGTGGTAGAAGTGACTTCCTTTATTCAGGCACCGTACGAAGGTAACGCAGGAAGTGATTCTTATTACACGGGTACATACGAGGGTAGCGGTGAAAGTGACTTTAAATTCAGTGCACCGTACAAGGGTAGCGGTAGAAGTGAATTGTGTTTGGGCTGACTTTCATTCGCCCATTTTATCTTTCGAATTAAAATTTCATCTCTCTCAGATTTCCGTTTTAACTAGCTGCTTATCTTATAGAGAATAGTCCGTAGATTAAGACGCTGCAATCGGATCTTAATTATCTCTTTTAGTTTACGAGATATTTACGATTCAATAAAAATGGGCAAAAATTGCAAAATGTGACTTGTAGTACTTTTAGTCGCAATTTTGACCTTTTACTGTAGGAAATATAATTATTTTATATCTTTATCTGATAGAGAATGTTCCAATCTTTTCATAATCCGCAATGCATTGCTGGCTAGGCTTTTTAGTTTAAGAGATATTAATTATCAAAAAATCGTCGAAAAAAGTATCAAGCACCCCCTTGGCAATTTTTTCTTAAGGATTAAAATTTGACTATAATATAAGAAGATAAGAAAATAGTTAATTTTTGAAGAGTAAAGGTTCTTAAATCCTCTCAAAAGATGCGAAAAATTGACATTTTCAGTTTTTCAGAGTTTTCTTCAATTGCGAATATCTCGTATACTAAAAGAAATAGAGAGTATGGAAACGCGACTATATGTGCCTTTGCAACACGCGGTGAAACACAATACAAAAAACTACGTAGATATAAACAGATGTACAACGCAGAAATTATAATGAAAAATATAATTGAATTAGAAACTTACCAATGCACAACTTATCGGACTCCAAGGCTCGGCAAATACTGTAAATTTAAAAAGAAAACATAAGTTAAAACAAAAATATTTCATACGATTTAGTAATATTACATTCTAACAGCGAAGAAACAATCAAACAATCTGTGCGGTTTAATTAAAAGTTATAAAAAGTTCACAAGCGCGATTGGTCATTCTAATTATGAAGAAATCAACATGGGACAATATGTATTTGATTCACATCGTAACTCGACACCTTGTGAGTTGCAATATACACTTTCAGCGCGATAAAAAACCGGCCGGACAATAAACGCGCAAAGAGTAAATAGCATTACTATAGTAGTAACAATTAAATAGTCGATTGATGATCAAATTTAATGCGAATTTGGAGCATAGAAGTCCGAACGAACAATACGAGTACGAGTCGCGTAAAACACGTCTGGATGAGCCATAAACCGGCACAAAACTGGCTGCAAACTGTGCCAGCAACGACGCAACAGTTTATGATAAGAAAGCAAGAGGTGCGCAAAGCAAGTGCGTCGATGGCACGAATCGCATGTAGCACGTTACCTGCGACCAAAACTAAACTAAGATGTGCCAACATGTGGCGTGAGGGGACGGCACTCGTGAATCTCATGCGTTGCATTCCACGCGGCGAATGCTATAAGAAAGTGTCAGTTCTGTTCAAAACATACACAATTCTCATGCCGATTACTTACGTTTGCCGATAAATATAGAAATAAACAATACAATTCTATTTTATGATTTTTAGTTCATGCTAGTGCCATCTCTGAATACAAATAAGAATTCCGGAATTCAGAAGGAACTTAGAACTTTGAAGGAATTTAGATTAAAATTAATGAAAGATTTTTCTTTAACTATTAAAGTGGTGTTTTGCTTTCATTAACCATAGTTGAGTAAGTGGAGGAACAATTAGAGACAACTTTTTTTATTCTGAAATTGTAAAAAATATAGAAATATCAAATTCCCCAAAATATCCCAATCCGAAACGTTAAGGAACCAAATTTTAGTTACTAAAATCTTGCCTGAGCCATCGTTTTGCATCTCTGGTATCATTTCCAAATGTATTCCCAAATCTTAAAAAAATATTTCATCATTGATATTACAAATAAAGAAACTTTTCTAAGTCATACCGGAACTTTTCTCCTGGTACATGGCCGCCATAATTGGGCAACAAGCCCACATGTCTTTGATAAACATGATGACTTATTATTGCTAGAGGAGGATCCGGTCTACTCACTGACACCGGGGCCCATTCGGTACTTAATCGTTTTCGGTAGTTAGAAGTAAAATCACAAAGAGCACCGTTTGTTAACGCTTGATTAGCTTTTCCAAACGAAGAATAACCGAATGGTAAATGACCAGAAAATCCTGAATAAAAAAATAATATGACGGAATCATAATTGTGATCAATAATGATTTTTTTAAATATCACACACACCTTGTTTTAAATATTTCTCAGCTTGAGTATTTTCCATAAAATAAGGACTATGAGAATGCATAGGTGGTGTGATTGGTGGCTCTTCTATTGGCAAATTTCTTTGAACCGCAGCACATTCCGGTCGTACTTCAAGAAGCGGCAAAGTAAACTCACTAGTCGTCAACTAGTACCGCATAAATTTTATAAATATTTTTTATAATTTCGTGTCTATCTAAGCAAATTACCTCCCGATCATCTAAATCTCGCGGATCCCACTTTTTATCTTGCAAAGCACCTTGCCGCATCAACTGATTCAAAGCTTTAGCATCTGCTTGTTGCAATTCTTGAAACTGAGACAATGCTTCAGTAGCTTGCACTGTATATCTTTGACCAAAAAGACCATTTAGTCTTGGTACAAAACCCTCATATCCTGGAATTGTGGGATGTTGGTAAATTTCACCACCGTGCTTGATACGAGAGTTTACAATATCAATATCTCTTTGTGCAGGTCTCACCACCTAATAAATATACCGTAAATATACCATATTTACTTAAGTAATTAAATAAACATTGAGTATTACTTGATAGTCATCTACATTTCTATCCGATAATATTAACTTTTCTGAATGCCCAACTGATGGGTCTAATAATAATTTATGCGTTGTAGATCCATAAGAGTTACCAACACGATATTTGTATTCGGGACAATGACCAGTGTACCTTTGTTAAAATAACATTAAATATAATAATTCGAGGAGAATACTTTGATACTACCCTGGAATAAAATGTGGATTTGGTGACGAAATCAAATCCATCGACATTTTTGCCACTTTAATAAAATTTTCTCGCAAAATTTTGTAAAAATTTTCAATAATTTAAAATACGTATGAATTTTTTACTACAATTTATTGTTTGACAAGTTATAACATAACGAGGTGATTGCTTGTCATAAACTTTTGTGACAGCACAATAATTTATGAAAAACAAGGGTAAATATTTTTGCAATTATATGCAATTATACACAATTTCGTGTCACATTTCATGTCAATGTAGAGATATTATTAACTACAATGCAACAAATAATTGAGCTAATATATAAACACATTAAAATTTCTCAAGAAAGCAGTTTGCAAAATGAGTGATATTAGCACAAAATTCAAACTTCCTGACCGATATGGAAGTCCTGGCCCGAATATTTGGTAAGATATTACGATTTATCGTTAATTCTAATTAGGAAAATGACTTAAATTTGATGTTTAGGGTAGAAATGATTGAATCTTGTTCAAAATATAATCCAATTAACTTAGGAGTTGGATTTGCAGATTTTGCACCACCGAAACATGTAACTGAAGCATTAGCAGATGTAGCTAGAAGCGATAATGTATTGCTTCATCAATACACCAAAGAATACGTAAGTTTACATTCACATTTAATTGGTATGTACGCTTATTATGCAAAATACTAAATCTAAATATATGTAGGGTCATCCTAGATTGGTTAATATCCTCTCAAAACTTTACTCTAAACTGATAAACAGAGAAATCAATCCAGACACTGAAATGCTTATATCAGAAGGTGCTCAACAAGCTCTGTATAATATTTTTAATGGAATACTTGATTATGGTGATGAAGTGATTGTTATTGAGCCATTTTTTGAGTCTTATGAGCCAATGATCAGAGAAACTGGTGCCAAACCTATTTTTATACCACTGACACATAATGGAAGTAATAATGGTTGTGTATTGACAACTAATGATTTTCACTTAGACAAAAAAGAGTTGGAAAGTATGTTCAATTCAAAAACAAAAGCAATCCTTCTAAATACACCTAATAATCCTCTTGGAAAGGTTTTCAATATGGAGGAAATGCAAATGATTGCAGATTTATGCAAAAAGTGGAATGTTTTATGTATCGCTGATGAAGTGTATGAATGGTTGGTTTATAAACCATATCAACACATAAGGATGGGTAATTTATATTTTATTAATTGAAAATGCTTAAACTAAGTTTTAAATTCAATAGCTACCCTGCCAGGTATGTGGGAGAGAACAATTACCGTCGGTTCAGCAGGCAAAACGTTCAACATTACCGGTTGGCGAACAGGATGGGCTTATGGGCCAGCGGGCTTGATGAATAATTTTAAAGTAATTTACCAAAATTCTATTTACGCACATTTGACACCCATACAAGAGGCTATTGCTATAGCATTTGAGAAAGAGTTTGATTTGATGCTTAATAACCCAAAAGAGTGTTTCTTTTACACTTTATCCGAAGAGTTATTTACGAAACGAGAGTTTTTAATGAAAGCGTTTGTTAAAGCGGGTTTAAAACCAATTCAACCACAGGGTGGATATATGATAATGGCCGATTTTCAAAGCCAAGGTAAGAATGATCCTCCTACGATGTCAAACTCAGGTGCAAAATCCCTAAAACCATCAAAAATTAGTCCTTCAAACATAAAAATGCAATTTTGGGGGTCAATTTGTGAGATAATCACAAAAATTATGTAGGAAAATGATAAAGAAATTTAATAGTTACAATCTGCTGCAAGAATGTTTCTCCTACGATGTCAGGTTCAGGAGCAAAATCCATAAAACAGCAAAAATTAGTACTTCGAACATAAAATTGCAATTTTGGGGTCAATTTCTGAGATAATCGTAAAAGTTATTTAGGAAAATGATCCTCCTACGGTGTCAAACTCAGGTGCAAAGTCTATAAAACCAGCAAAAATTAGTCCATCGAACATAAAAATGCAATTTTGGGGGTCAATTTGTGAGATAATCACAGAAGTTATGTAGGAAAATGATAATGAAATTTAATACTTACAATCTGGTGCAAGAATGTTTCTCCTACGATGTTAGGTTCAGGTGCAAAATCCATAAAACCAGCAAAAATTAGTCCATCAAACATAAAAATGCTATTTTGGGAGTCAATTTGTGAGATAATCTTAAAAGTTATTTAGGAAAATGATAAAGAAATTTAATTCTTACAATCTGGGGTAAGAATAGTTCTTCTACGATGTCAGACTCAGTAGCAAAATCCATAAACGACGCATATCACCCGCGCACAATCGAAGGAGCATTGAGAAACAACACTACGTAATAACGTAATAAGATAAATTAAGAGACTCAAATTATTGTCAGGTAAATGTACGTGCTGACCACCTGACGACAAAAATAAGACTGACGCGGTACGCAAAGCCAACCGCGTGGCGACCGAATAAAAATTGCAAGAGATAAGAAAACTTGTTTGTAAACACTGATAGTTTCAGTGTGGTAGTGCAGAACCTGAAAAGAATTGTACTCGTACTATGCATGGAACTTGCATTTTTTTAATTTCGATTCAGAATTTAATTTAAGAAAGTTAATCAGTGCACTAAATACAGGGTGCTTTCCACACCATGTTTTTAAATTTTCCTGAAATTGCTCATTTTGAAGGACATTATAGGGCACTTTCGGAAGGACTGGAAGGTTGAAGAAGTATGCATCGTGTAGAGAAACTCCCTGATCTCCCTCTCTTTCTAATAATTGCTGTTTTATCACCGATGCATATTTTATTTCGTCATAATAAAAGGTGGCCCAAATTCTCTCCATAATCAAATTCCAATACGTTCCTTTGTAAACACGATTAATTCTTAAGTTTAACATCATTTTTTAGTCGTAATTATTAACAAGAGTTACAATTTTAAAAGGTATAAATATATATATCGTCTTTCTTATCAGATAGCATCAAGAAACAAACTGTATTCATACTCTCTTTAGTTCCATATTAAAATATAATTTGTGAATATCAAGAAGCTTTAATAAGCTTCAAAACTACAAATTTGCACTTTCTGTTAAAATTCCTGCTATGCGGAGTAATGTATATGTAATTACTTTTCTTCACAGTTCGTTTGCACTCTTCGCATCATTTAAAATTAAAAAGTATTAACACAGCCAAGTTGTATAATAATTAATCGAAACAATAGTCACTAGATTACTAAAACTATGTATCTTAATCGACTTACAACGAATATTATGCGTACATAAATAGACTATGCTCTTATTATCGAAAGTGTAGAAACACAAAATTAGAAACATCACCTTTATACACGTACATATTTACATCGCAATTTACACATCCGCGCAATTTGTAATAATCATATTTACAACGTGCATCTAATAAACGGCATGAACATCTATCACAAACTGAACACATTTCACATTTATCATTATTATGTCAAAGTGTGACAATTTTGGGTATGCGATTCGTTGCTGAATTTTAAATTTCCGGTAAATATTAACGATTTTTCATCTATTTAACATCTAGTGCTTGTGCCAAAAATTTGCACGGGCTAGCCAAACAGTAAAATGAAGATTACATTGAGTGTTTACAAAGCTTTAAGAAATTGTAAAAAACAACGTGTATATCATTCTACAAAATGCATAATTACTAAATAAAAACAAACAAACTTCATGTTGAAATTTTCTCTTTGAGAATAAATACAATTTATGTACTTGTTTATTAGATAAACAAGAACATGTCAAGCCAAGTCCATAAAATTGCAGTAAACACTCAAAGTATGAATATTTTGACAGTGTTTTCCGTTTTCCCGATGTTTTTGTTTTCTTCGCGTTACAAATTTATTTTCGTGTGTGCTCATTTCGGTTCCTGCCCTGCTTACATCACATCACTTAGTTTAGGCTTATGTCTGTAGCATATTATTATAAATATAGCCCTAATGCTCTTACTGTAACACTTAAATTGCACGAAATATATCATTACATCGATGTGACTAACAAAAAAAAACGCATTTAAACGCTGGTAACTCCACATTCTCCAAACTCACAAATCGTTCGCATTCAGAATCAAAGTGTAGCAAATCTACATAGTACTCTACTACAGGTAAATAACGCGTAAATATTTCTATATAATATGACTTTCTTACTCTTTGTTTTCGTATTCATTTGTTTTGTATTGTATTCAGTAAAGCTATCGCAATTGACTACCTCACTTGCAGCCACATTTGAGGACATCTTAATAAACATAAAATAATAGGAACTATCAATGCTATTTCTTGAAACTATCGCAGCCCAACGTATTGCTGTGGACTGATCGCAACTTACTTAGATTTAAAATAACAAAACAAAATAAATAACAAATTCACCCGTCGGCGATAATAAACATGTAAAATATAAAACGAAGAGATTCCCGTCGTGAATATCAAGCAGCCTACGTGGTTGTAAGTATATTGTGTTGGAGACTACAGCATACAGTTTTCCATTGTTATGTGGATGCCACCATTGTGCACCTTCATTTTCTCCAGGACTTTGTTAACGTACTCTGTTGTTTGGCCAGCAATTTTCACTTCTAAACATCATAGAATTTTAGTTATAAATCGAAAAAAGTAGATTTAAACACTTACTCATAGAAGATTTAGCTATTTTCTCAACATGCTGAGTGAATTCATCCTGTTTCCCCTGCGCACAATTGTTAATCTTCACTTTAAGTATGTGCCTGGCTTGGTTCAAATGGTTCAAGAGTCGTTCTGAAAGTTTTCATCAATGTAGTGTTATTCAATCAAATTTAAATGTATTCATTCACCCACTGTGTTCATTCTCGAGTCCTTCCAGTTTGATTTTATTCGCCTCATGCTGTGCTTTCTTCTTGAGCCTACACGCCCTGGACGCCAGTTTGTTCTTCTCTTTTCGTGTCTTCGGCCGCACATTGAACGGTAACTCACTGACCGGCGTCATATCGTTGATAATCCTTCCCAGTTTATCCAATTCTTTGCCAATGTTGTAGAGTTTTCTTGGATTCGGTGTAAGATCATTACCGTCACCTTTACGTGCTTTCCCGCTGTGCTTGATACCACGCACCACACAATCTGGGCTGAAGACAGGGTCAGTGATTTGATTCAGCACGTGTGGATTCTCCGTCTTGGTCTTTACTATCAGACGTTGTCCTTTGGGTCCCTTGGCTTGTACATTGTACTGCCAAAAGAAACGTTCCTTCTTTTTCATTGACTTCACACCGGTGTGATCTTCATCGTCATCTGAGTCACCTAAAATAGATTTGCATCAATATTTGCAAAGTGTTAGTTCAAATATAATTAATTTCAAGGTTGACAAGTTTCCCTTTCAAATACACTTTATTTTTTTCCCAACTTTTACTTAAAACGTTCGAAGCAATATGAGAACGCGAGGCACGTGTAAACAATCAAAACGCAAGTTGCAAAAACGCGCAAACCGATGAAAATCATAATCATAAATGTCGCATTCGTAATAATGTATGAATACCTAATGAAGTTGCACACACGCGTTTGGCATTTAAGTCACAAAACGTATCACCGTTTAGCATTTATTATATCTATTTGTGCCGATGTAAACAAACCCAAACTTTCACACGACACCGATCGCGATTATCAAACCAGTCGTATCGTTTTACGAAAACAATATTGTTACACACTCGAATCGAGTATCGATAAAAAGTTGAATTCAAAACTTCAGTGACATAATTCGCGATAGATAAGCGCATCGTAAATAAATATTCAGTAGTAGTTTCAGAGGCACGTGTTATCCAAAACCACAGTGTAAAAAAACAAGCACCGAAAACGTTTGCAAATTTCTGTCCGCTTGTTTTGTGTTTTGGTTTCGTTCTGTGTGAACGATCGAACACATTTGCATATTCTCTAATGTGTGTACTGTGTGGCAAATAGGAAACAGTTAATTTCATGGCCAAACTTATACACTGCCACCGACGAAAACAAAACAATCCTGCGATTCATGGTGGAGGAGCAAGCGAGCACAAGCACCTGCATTTTTTTTTATTCTGCAGCGCTTAATGAACGTGACGAATGCTATTGACCGCGCACATTTAAATTTTACGCGAATCGTAAATAAAGCAAATCTTTTGAACGGCGCACGCTTCAAGAAAAATGCGGAAAAGCCTTGAGAGCTGTTTTTATAGTTTTGTTGTCGTAATAGATTTGGCTTGTGTGCAATCCAACACAAGTCATTAAACCTCAGAAATTAACTCACCGTCAGTTGAATAGTCCTCATAATGCTCACTGTCTTCGTCACTGTCCAATTCGTCGTGGGAAATATCCGGCGCTTCGGGACTCAACACACCGGTCGATAAAGATGATGTAGAACCAGCCTCGACTTGTGATCCAGTGGATAGTAAATGTGGTCTGGGTTCCCTCCTCTGCCAGAGGTCCCTTAAAGCTGAATGCGTTGGTGCCGATGAGCTCAGCCTTGAACTGTGCGCCATTCTTTGTTGTAGGCGTGCTTGAGATGGCGAGAGTGCCGACACACTCGGCCCGGGCACACTTTGCCCCAGGGGTACCTCTTGTGAAGGGTAACTATCCCGTTGAAGCAGTTCATGGAGGGTACTGTGTTTCGCCTGGAGGCTGGACGACGATGGGGATAACGTTGGTACAAACAGGGGTGAGCTAGAACTAGCTTGACTCGTCGGCGAAAAAGTCTTGCTTGGTGTTAGCGACTCATAGGAATTCGAATTCAGGTTGTATTCGTCTTTAAAATAGGCCATACCCGTCGATGGGCATGATGACGCAAACAAACTATTGTTGTTCAGGTTGTTCAATAGACTACTCTGTCCTAAACCAAGAGACATGCTTTTTATATTGTTAGATGCTGTATTCAAATAACTATTTTCATCTGGCAAAAGAAGATCATCGAAGTTTAGATCAGCAAAGAGAATGTCATCAGTGCTTTCGAGGTTGGCTAACGTGGAGTCTTGAATAAGGTCCGCCTTGTCCACCACTTGGAAGATGTCATCATCAAATTGAATCCCTGGTTCCATTTTGGGCATCTCCATGTCAAGCTGTTTGGTACTCCACATTGTATTTGTGTCGATAGACTCTGGAGAAGCAACCTGTGTTAACATATCCTGGTAAATTGGTGAATCCATGGCGTCCAAATGAATATCACGGTAATCATCGATTCTCTTCAAGGGTATTGGTACGCTGGCCGTCATATTGATATTTATAGAATTTAAGGATTCCAACATTGGTTCTTCTTTTATTGGTATTCCAGGATCAATACAATGGCTATCCATTTTGATTTACCAAAAGAATCTAGAAAGTATATTTAACTTGAATTAATGATGATGAAGTATGATGCATTATTGCGAAATACATAAACAATGTTTGTTCACAAAATGTGTTTTCAGTGTTGATAAACGATTTGAATTATATACGCAAGTGGGAAAAAAAACGAGAAAAACAAAAGATGTAAACAAACAAAACGCAACTATACAAGGTGCCTGCCAGCAGGAAATAATATTTTGAGCATCATAAAATGTGGTTTACGTCCACAGCTGGGACAAAACGACTCACCGTGCTGTATAGAGAGCCTAAAATTAGTGATAACTCGTCACTGACGAACTTTGACCAACCGATTTTATAATAAATTGCTGATAATCATAAACACTATGGTAGGCGCGCGGTGCGCATGCGCAGTGTACGGCGCACGCTGCAGCAAAAGCAAAATATTCGCGTAAATTTCCACTCGACCTGCTGGAATTCGACAAAGGCTCACAATTCCGTTAAATACACGCTGCACCCGCGCGATGACACTATTTTTAGAAACGTAGACACAAGGGAAGATATTCCTGCGGTTGTCAATTCTGCTCTACAGCAGGAGGCGACACGCCATGCTTGAAAACAAATGAATCACAAGCGAAACACGCTTGACGTCACTGTCACTCTGTAGCACAACACAAGAGAAAATCCGAAATTGTTGTCTTTCCGATGGTTGTCAGCTGTGAATGGTTGTCTTCGTTTGCAGGAATGCGCTTATGGTTTAATTGTGACACGATGGCACACTTCGAATACGTTTGGTAATCGATTTATTTCGCGAAATCGTGGCGCTTGTGACGACACACGCTGCTGTGCTGCTTGGTAATGTTGGTAAACACTGAGCGCGCTGCCAGTGAGCTCGTACGGCGCGGGCTGCAGGCAGCAGGGAAAGGTCACATGAATATATTCAATAAACGAGTGCGGCAGCCAATCAGCGTTCGCGCTGCCCAACCAATCGACGACGGCACGTTTCGATGTAAACAGAAGTGAAACACGGATCAACAAACCGAGCGAAATACAACATTTCAAACGAAAACTGATTCCTGCTGACTGCCTGACTCTAATCTCAGTCTTACATAACTCATATTCAACATGGCACAAATCACCACAAATTATTTCCAATACACGCCGGAGAAATGATCACAATTGTATCGATAAGCAGTTTTGTTTTCTAGTGCTGCACATCGAATTCCTACATAATTTATTGAAAGTTATTAATTTATTTCTGGTACGTTCATTGACGTCATACACACACAAGCCATCTTTAAATGTAGTTGCGAATTCATTATGCATTACATGCTATTCCTGCTGATTGCTGACTCGCGAGCGCGAGCAGTTTTACCGTGGCCTTCACACTTCTTTTCTTACAAACAAAAACACGTGATGCATGCGCATGCTGAACAGTCGATTATCTCGTGCTCACTCACACCGCAGGCAAATTGCTGCTGTGTGTGTTTACGCGCGGCACGCGGAGGCCCTCGCTTGGGTTTCGATTGCAGGAGAAGGGGACCGCGGCAAAATTGTGTGCTAGACCAAAACAATGGTAACAGCGCCACCAAGCGGAAAATATGTCTACTATTTCTACTACAGCAGGAATAATTCAAGGTCAGTTATTCATCATAGCGATAGGCAACCCAACTAACACAAAACAATGAAAATCAATGCGTTTTCTATTATTTTTTGTGTGTTTTAGGCACGTTTAATGATATAAACTCATGATTTAATCAATATAGTGCTTTTATTTGAAAGATCGTTGAAGTAAAATATAAACATGTTGTTACTTCGAATTTGGTATTCAAAATAAGTCAAATTCAAACTTTATTCGTTCGTTAGCTTCGTTAGTTTCGTATCCTTGCGTCGTTTGTTCTTCATTCGTTAGAATTTCACATTTGCTAGTTAATTGGTCGTGTCTGCAATAATCCGTGTCTTTTCCTCCATCAACTTTGTTTTCACTAGGTTAGTTAATAACTTTGTTAATAATTTTGCACTTGATTCACTGGTTTACTGACTCACTACGAAATAGGCCTCTCTAAACAATATAAAAACAACGTTGTCTCAGTAATTTTTATCGTTTTAGCTCATTATTATTAGCTCTTAGTTCATAGCTTTAGTAATTTGTTGTTTGTAGCTTATTGTGTGATTCCTTAGACGTTAATTTGCTTCGTAAGTTCGAAGTTTTGGGTGAATTCATTTTTAGTAAGCTGCGAGCTGTCATTTTGTTTACGTTTTCGGTGAATGAGCAAAGCATGCTTAAGAAAGATGCTCAATTTGTTGAAAAAGACGTAGATTTTGAGTTGGAAATGCATGTTCTTTCATAGTTGAAGAAGAATTTGAACTTATTTCAGCTTTGTCGATTTGTGGACGAATTAATCCGACTCTTCTGTATCAGTATACCGTTCTGTGCGTATTTAAATTCCAAAATATTGGTTGGTATGCTAGATTTTGGATGTCCGTTTTGCAAGGACGGATTAATCTTCCACTCGTTTGAATATCCAAAATGTTGGTTTGCTTAAAATTAGCAAAATGTTACAAAAATACGTAATGCGTACGAAAAAATCGAATTTCTGTATTCGTATAAAAAAATGTATCATTGAAATTTGTTTCAATTGCAGTTTGCTGTATTTGCGTATTTGATTTCAATTCAAAGTTGTCTTGCGAGAAAAAGTGCATAGTTTTTTCGTTTTGTTTCTTAACTTCGTTTGAACTTTCTAGCTAATGGCTCTTTTGTTAATGTTTAAGCAATGTTAAACATTAACAATCAATTTTAAATTCTAGATTTGTAATTTTTTAGGCGCTCTCAAACGCAAGTCACTAATAAAGTCAAAATTTCGTGTACTCTCGCATCGTTTCGTGAGTGTGTCAAGTGTTTTGTTAGTATTTTGCTGTTTCATCTACATGTAAATATCACAATGGCCGCTGACGGAAGCCCACGCAAAATTCCATTTGTTTAGTTATGAGTTTCTTATAGTTTAGTCGAATTTTCGCAGCTTAAAAATGCATTTTACGCGTTGTCCCGAATTAATTTATCGAATTAAGCGCGGAATCGAACGCAAGCTTCGCGAAGAAACGGCCAGCCAACAACAATCAAGTGTGTTTTTTGTTTGTTTATTACAATTGTTTAATGTCCCATTGTTCTCGTGTCGCAATCGGAAGTAAAGTAGTAATCGCCTGCCAGCGTCACGCAACTCTCATGTGTTCATGGTTTGTGTTCGAGTGAGATATGTGGCTGATATAAAGCACAATTTTTGTTTGTTTAATTTCAAGTTGAGTTTGGTTTTGCTCTTGTTGCTTTGCTAAACACGCCCGTTATCAATTACTTACTTGGTAGAGAGAGAGAGAGTGGCAAAACACAGCACTACTTTGTCAAGTTAACTTTTTTTGGTATCTCTAGGTTACGTTATAAATATATCTGCTGTCTTTCGTGTGTGTTCACCTCGTCGAAGGTTTTAAGTAATCGAATAAAGCTGCGCGCGTTGTTTTCATAGCCCTTAGATAGCTGTGCGTATTTTTTTTTTGTCTTTTACAGTCCAAGTCCTAAAAGCTGCGCGCACTGTCGACGCGCGCCCTCTCGCGGTCGTCTTAAACGTTAAAACCTCTTAATCAACAAGAAAATGCATTAGTACGTTATCCATCGCCTGTTTTCTACCCTCAACGGATTCCTACATCGTTAATTATGTTCACTTTTTGTCTGTTGTGTGTGCATTTGTTGGTGGGCGGGGGAGCTTACGGCTCGGGTTCGTGCGTGCCGTTCGTCCCCCCGCCGCCCTGTTCGTCGCTGGCGAGCTCGTGCGGCCGCAGGATCGCACGCACCGTCTGGAAGTACTTCTTGAAACCGAGCTTCGCGTACAGGCTCTGCGAGGCGTCGTTCTCCGGCCGGATGACGACGAAAGGAATATATCCGCGTTTGGTAACGGCGTTCGTCAAGCATTTCGCCAGTCGAATACCGTAACCTTTACGCCGAAACTCGGGTTTCGTTTGCATCGAAAACATGGCGCCGTAATAGGATTGCACCATCCAGGCGGCAAGCTCGCCCTCTGACGAGAACACACCGTAGCAAGGCAGGCGCTCCATCAGCCGGCCGAATACCTCCACGCTCTCCATGTGATTCGCCGGGTACAGGTCGTGAATTTCGACGGCGTACTCGGGAGTTAGCTGCTGCATCTCCGCACCCTCTGGAAATGTCCTGTAAAATAATGAGAATAATTCAATTGGTAGACCTAATTGTGATTGGATAACACTCACGTATCAATTTCATCTTCTTCAACTAAAACATTGTCCATCAAAGAATAAATGTCTCCGTATAGCTTCTCGACTTGGCCGCGCCCCTCGTAGAACTCCTCCATTCGAGCGACGATGTCAGCGTGCGTAAAGTTTAGCGAAATTGGGCGCGCCCAGTCAATCAGCGTGTCTTCGTCGAACAAAAGTTGCAGATCGTCGAGTCGATCGTTCGGACAAAACACTGCGAAGCTAGCGTACAAATTTCCCTCCGGCTGAAACGTGAAAATCAAGTTTAGAGAAAAAAAAAAACACAAAAAATTAAAAAAAAACATATTGATAACAACAAATTTTTTATAATAAAAGAATTTGTAGCACAATTGGACGAAATGTCCAAATGGCCAGTAAGCGGCATGCGGGATTTGGCCGGTGGCCAAGTGGGTCAGGACGCCACTCACGGCAATTTGAAACCTTTTTTTCCTTCGGCATTCTGCACGACATATGATTTCCGAATGCGTTCTCTTGCGTGTATAGAATGGCACTTTTCGCTACTTGAACTTGAAAACTCTGTGAAACATGCCGATTATCAGTAATTATGCGGCAGTTTTAGCGTTTATACTTTCATAGGAGTTTTCAGGGTCGTAAGTTATTTTAAACAAAGAAATAAATCAATTTTGTTTTGTTTTCTGCAAAAATAAAAGTGATTAAGGGCAGGTCCTTGATCTATAATTAGTCTTTGCGCGTAAATTTCGCCATTGACAGTGACACGCGTGAAATTTCCATTTGTCGTAGTCCTTGTACGTTGTTTAACATCGCGCCCCTGGCGAAATACCCTTGTCGCACGTGCGCATTGTATCCTTGTATCGCTCGTGTATGCTCGTGTTGGTGTTCCAATTATGCAAACATTTTGCCACGGGCAAAAGGGCTCGACAATAATTAACGTTGCTGGCGGCGCGCGCGGCGCAACCTCACAGGAGCGAAAAACAAAGCACTTTTACTGAATTTGCCTTTCTCGAAGGAGTTATGACCGTAATTTCCGTTCGGGCGCGTTTTCAGCACGACCAGACGCGAATCAATGACAATTAGCTTAATAGAATCAAACACAGCAAGGTTGAGACGGTAATACACGACAAGAAACAAATCAAATGCAAGAAATGTGACTTTGAACATAAAATATCTGAATGTAGAATATTGGTGTATTGAAAGTTGCCTACCACGAGTAATAATTTACTTGTCAAATTATCCTTGCGTTATCTTTCAATTTGTTTCCACAAGTTTTTCAGTAGTTAGCCAACAACTCTTATAACTTCGGATGTTTTTGGCCACAATATTCTATTTGTCTTAGTTTTCAACCAAGTTTACAAGTTTTTCTTTGATTTTTGTGCTATATTTGGTCGCCTGCCAAGCATATTAAGACCTCTGAGTATATTTCTGCCAAAAGCGTAAAACAAATATGTTTTAAAGCACAGCATGTTTGCCTAATCTTCATCTTACCTCCCCCGCGGTATTCTAACCAAATTTACACCGCAAGTTATTGCGGTATGCGCATTAAACGCAATTTTAACTACATATTATTTACTTATCAACGCGTGAACATCTACCCGTTAATTTCCCTTTTAAATTAACCACGCTTGTGGTGTGTTTTAAATTTTTTTAGTAAAACATACCGTGCTTGTCATGCCTGGAAAATGCAGCGCGACCATTTCGTCCGGCCAGTTCTTTGCGACGTAGAAATGAAAATTCCAAACGCGATCGGTCATGTAAGTCTTCACCGTTTGATGAAACTGCAAATACACAAACAGAACAATTTCGATAAAAATAGAGTCGTTTAGACGCGATTACATGATTGCAGGTCACGCATAGGACAATTCCACGAAAATGAAAAAAAAAACACAACATGAATAAATGATTTCCTTTGGTTGGCCATCGGTAAACAAATTAACAAATCGTTTTAATGATGATTAAATATCAGATAATCAATGGACAATTACTCCATGATAATTGTGGGTAATAAAAGTAGAAAAACACGACAAGTTTCATTACAATTCCAATTTGTATCAAAATAAAATCATGTAAATATTATCAATAGTTATTATCTATTTCTACATGGGAAATAAATACTTCTCAAACGACATAAACTTAAAAATAGATTTTTATTGTGATTCTAACCGACAATAAACATATCCATGAAATACCCACACATGTCGGTATAGTAGGTATCTACATGTTTCTATTTATTAGTATTTGTTGTAAGTTTTGGTTTGCCGCGCTAGTCACGTGATTTCAATTTAAATTTCCCTTTTGCATTTGCATATCCCAATAAGAATCCAGCCGCCCCTGAGCCGTGGTTGGAGTGGCGTGACTTAATACACAATAACGAGCTGCCGCACGTGACTTTTACGTGTCGCGGCGTGCTTCGCATGTTTCGTGCATAGTCGAAAAATTCTGCGGCATCGAGAGCCGGCCGCCACCTCCGCCGCCGCCGCCGCCAGCCGCGTGTCGCGTGTGTGCGAAAAGAAAATCGATGCCCTCCCGCCCCTCTGCGCCTCGCACAGCCGGCCGGCAGGCAATTTTTGCCCAGGAAAAACTCGCGAAGGAAGCACGCATGGATTCTGACACTTGATACACGTGGATAATGCGCGGACACATGAAGAAAGAAAATTAGCTTTAATTTTTGATTTCATTAATTAATTAATTAAGAGATAAATACACAAAAAATTAAAATTAAATAAAAACGCGTTTGGAAATAATTTAAACGTGATATTAATTAAAATGTTTAAATTGAGATAAAAAATGTCAACAGGTAAAAGTAGGTATCTATATTACCTTAATAGAATCCGGTAAATAATTCCCCAGCAAATCGAGTAAATCCGGAAGCTCTTCTTCTTTTACCAATTTGAAATGTTTGCCTTCCGGTAGGACTTCTTCCATTGCTGCCCAAGAGAATCGATTAATCATTAGAGATAAAACAAAAAATTCCTCAACAAGAAAATAAAATCACTCACCTCGTACTAGACGAGCAGATTAATATGATGTTAACCCGAAAGATGGTCGAAGAACAATCCAGCCACGTTTAGTGATGTGAACACTGAACAATACTTAGTTTTTGCAAATGTTTTGTGTTTTGCGAATAATAGTTTAGGAGTAGTTGTGTTGCGTTGGATGCAAATTACGGATTACGGTTGTTGCGAACGTAGCTGTTTTGTGATGCCGGGGATTTTATTCAGATGATGAAACGCACATTGATCGAGCCGCAGGGTGCGGAGAAGCCTGCATCCCCCGAGCGCCTCCCTTCTACTGCAGAGTAGCGGCGCGCGGCGTGGCGACGGCGCCGGTCGGCGTCGCTCCGACCCGCGCGCGCGCATCTCAACCGCCGAAGAGGGTTGCAGTTTACCAACGCGTTTTAATTGCGCCGATTACCAGCGAGCAAAACGTTTTAGGTCCCACAAACTTGAATAGACCTCGGTAGAAAGATGCAAATTTTTCTTCTTTTTTTGTTTTTTCTCTTCAAATAAAAAATAAAAAACTTTTTTTTGTTAACTTTTACAGTTTTTACTTAAAAATTATTGTATAAATATGTACATGATGTACTTATCAATGTAAATCATTTGTTTTTGTTTTTATTTGTTATTGTTAAACAATACAAATGATTTGTTTACTCCATCGATTGTGGCTCATCGCGACCAGGTGGCATTTCACATTCCGCCAACGTGCATTTTAATGATCGCACTCTTTACTCTTCCTCCCTACCAACCGTTCCCAAAACATAGGACAGAATGCACAGTCGTGCCGCGGCAGCCAAACCTGCCTGTCGTATTCCTGGAACAAAACTAGTGTGGCCCTGTGGGTTGGCAGGAAGTACGACGTTTTGCAGAAGGATAAAGTGCGATCGATTTCATCGTCGCCGCAACCCCTTTTGCATCACCTTTCGCTTTTGCCATTTAGCGCGATCGCCCCCCTCCGCGCGAATACTACGGGTAAGTGAGACGTTAAATGAGCGCGAGCGTTGAAAAGTAAAGTTGAAAGTGCAAACGGTTTATAATAGTATGTGTAATACACGTGCTAACTGAAGAAGTATGACTATATTAGTGAATATTAAAGGTAAGAACCGTTTATAACATTTTGCTGCATTCTCATTGTAAATTTATTATTATTTTCTGTTTTAGACTTTCAGTAGTTGAGTAGAATATGTCTTCTGAACTATGCATGTTTGCATGTTTTAAAGGTGAATTGAAGAAGTTGCAGTGTTAATAGTGCTTACAAATTAACAAAATTACAAAGTATATATTCTTGAGAAACTCGGAACTACAGGATAATGAATTTTAAATATCAAATTTGGTCCTGTCAAAATAAAAAAAGCAAAATACGAGTCCTTTTTGAGCTTTTCAATTTATAAATGTATGCTTCCTGCAATACATTGGTCTGAGATAGAAAACCTTTAAGAATAAAAGGTCTGAAGCCTTCATTAGGAGCTACATTTTAGTTTTTAAGAAATTTGCTTTTAAAACTTTCAAACTTAAATAAAATCCTCAAACGCCTTTAAAGGAAATAGACATATGCATTCTATTCAAAAACTATGAATAAATCCGCAGCAAAAACATAAACTGCACTAGATATTGAACTTATGCATCAGAATACTAAATTTGAAAGTTTAGTTTTGCTTTGTTTTGGATATCAAATCCTTCCCTAACAACAAATTACAAATTGACGGTGTAAGAACTCAGTAAACTTTACATAACCTGCTTGAAATGTTGTTTTCTCAAATGAATTCAATAAAATCGGCGAATAAACCAGCTATTTTGAATTAGACTCGTAAATTTCATAAATATGCAGTAAAATCCTCTCCCGCAAACTCTGCAACGGCAAAACTGATTCGTGAAAACGTCCCGAGGCGCAATTTGTTTGTTTGCTTCGCGACACTTGCAAAGTGTTTCTTTTCCGAAGTAAAATATCGATTTGCTTGGTCCGCGTGTATAAACAGCCCATTTTCACAGCTGTAACACATACATACTATCTTCCCATACATCTGTTTATACATTGTGAATGCTGTTATAAAGTTTAATTTATTAATACAAAGAAAACTGATTTGTGATACTTAATTTAATTCCTGAATGTAATGTAAATCTGATATGAAAGGTAAATTTTCGCATTACATATCATATTCTAGTCAGGTAGTGTAGATTAGCACACAAGGGATTGTCTGTAACTGTCTGTAAATTTTAGAATATTTGGACGACATCAAGATGTCTCGTCGCCGTGCCAAAGAATACGACAATGTCGACTACACACAGCTAGCTGGCACGGACAGCGGCTTCGTCGACGCGCAGTTCCTTCAACCCCCCGACAAAGTGCCATGGAAAGCGATTGTGTTTGCGGGTGTTCTCATGATAGTCGGAACAACCCTCCTGGTTGTCGGGGAGTCTCGTCGTCAGTGGACACATTGACGTAAAGTATTCAGACCGCATGTGGCCAATAATCATTCTTGGCGTGTTGATGTTTATTCCCGGTGCTTATCACGTGAGAATCGCTTACTATGCATACAAGGAAGTGCCGGGGTATTCATTCGATGACATTCCTGAATTCGATTAATGAAACCAATTTAAAACTAGCAAATATTCACCAAGAGAATGCCTTACTGCACGATTTTCTAGCATTTGTCTTGTTTTTTAAGCTATGAATTTGTTAGAATTTATAAAAATGTAACGCAAAATATATTTCATATCAAATATAAGATAACTTAAACTTAAAATGAACAATATGTGAAATTCTTTAGCATTATTTGTGCCTCAGAGAGGGTGCACACGTCGACGAATCTGTTCCAGTAAGTGTTTCACATAATCAACCTGAAAAGTGCCGTTGAATTTCGAGATTGAACCCGGTGTGAATTTGATCAGTGCGTAGTTAACGCGCTTCGCCAGCGATCTTTCAGTGTCCCACACCCCGCTGGTTTTCACAAATGGCACGTTGGGAACATCCCCGTTTGGCAACTCTCCGTACTCTGCTGTTATGGGCATAGCACATTGATTACGCCTGAGCATTTTATAGAAGAAAATGTGCGTAACCAGCTGAATTTCAGTTATTGACAAATGCGCATTGTAAAAAATAGTTTCCTACAAACATTTAACACATGTATTGACGCTTAGGTATAAATTGTGCTTCTTACCTCATTTTGTTTGTAAAAATCCTGACAAAAGTGGAGAATTTCCGCCGATTTGGGCAGCAGACTCCAATTCTCTTTCAGATACAACAATACTAATATATTTCTCAAGTCGCTCAACTCAATATGCTTATAAAATTTAAATATAGATTCATGCGCGTCGGCAATCAGATCTCTTTCGTTGTTCCGCCATGGCAAGATTTTCTGCTTGATAAAAGTCCGATAATAATCGAACATACTCCAGTTGTGTTTTACCTCTAATATAAATCACACAAGTAAAATAAAGTAAATAAAAACTATACAAAAAGGCACTTACTTTGACCCTCCACGTCAAAACCATGATTCATCAATAAAACAATTAGATTTTTGCATTCATCGAAATTTCCCGATGCGTACATTCCATTAAAAAGTTGCCGCAAGTTGGTGAAGAACCAACTGAACGCTAACTTCATGTCCTCGCTGGGAATAACAAATCCTTTCGTTTTTATCCATCGTAAAGCCAGAGGAAAATTTTTGCCGTGAATGAGTCGGGAAAATATCAAAACACTCCTTAGACAATCGTCCTCGTAGTCAGGAAAGTAAACCTGTACCAAGAACACAAGTTGCATAAGTTGCAATAAAATTACATATATTTCTACAACTCACCTGAGTGCAATGCAATTCTTCAAAGTGCTCCTCGAAAAGACCTAACAAATCAGCAGAAATTCCATAGGAAAAATCGTTATTATATTGATGTTGTCTCATGAAAGTCACCAAGTGAAGAGCAAGCACCATCAAAAGCCGGCGCAGCTCAACACTGACTTCACCAAGCATACTATTACAAACGGAATCTTTAAAAACATCATGTGAACATTTATATTGTTTTCATTGATAATTCTTTCTTCAAAATATCGTCAACTGTTCGAATACTCATCGCCTGGAAATCTTCATCTCTGCAGTGATCATGTAAGAAATTACTGAGTTCTTCAGCATTGGTGCATTGCGTAAATAGGTCTCTTAACATCATTTCATTGATATTTACTTGTTTTACAGGTGATTCCGCTTTGGCGATTTTTTCCTCGGCTTTCACACGCATCGTCTCAACGAACATTAACAAAAGCGATGCGGGTAACTGCTCCTGATCAACCAAGTCAGTTTTCAACAGTTTCTTGTACACATTGTCAACCAACTCGTATGAGACGTCATCATTCATGCAAGCACTGATGATTTTATTAACCACTTCAAAATCAAGTTTTCCTTCAAAAAACCCGAACATCTTCTCTAAAAGTGGCCAATACTGTAAAAAATTCTCACGTTCCACTGTTATACTTAATATTATATCACAAAGAGTCTTTGCTTGACGTCCTTGTTCCTTCTGAAAGCAGTTATTGTACTTGAGGATCTCATCAATAACGGTCTCGTAGTTTAAATATTCATCGCCCACTTTCACTTGCAGCAATGCATTGATGATTTCCTTAACGATTTTTTCTCGCTCAAAAACAAGACCTTCAAAAGTCAGAGCATCCTGAATCAATAACATCAACACATCGCGATTTCCGGCACTTGCCAACGCTGCAGGAAACTGTTCCAGTACTGCTTTGATAACATTTAGTTTGCCTGGATAAAATTTACACTTCATGATTTTCCACAGTTGTTGTTGCGCCGCGTACGAGCCGTGGAACATATTCGAATTAAGTTGATGGATAAAAGTACAACTATTCATATTTCCGCAACGTTCAAAGTCACGGCAAATACGAAGTGGTAAATTCAATAGTTTTAGTTTCCGCTCTTTTAAGCTGGGAGCTTTAAACGTAATATCAAGTAGTGAAGGTATATTTTGAGGTATTTCTACAGGCTGAGTGAAGTGCTGAGATGTATCAGGCAATCTCGATAGCTGGAGATTATTTTCTTTGGTTTCATTGCAAGTTTTCATGGCAACTTTATCGTGATTCGTCTGAGCTGTAGGAATGACTTTTGAGATAGCTGCCGATTTATTCACAGTGGAGTTGGTATTAGTATTAATCGAGTCGATATCGGTTTTGAGTATTTACTTGATTTTCATGCGAATTTTGCGTAGGTAACAATTGCAAATGATTACTGAGACGGACTTTTTTCTTTAGCGGTGTGACCTTCAAGTTTTTATTGGAGTCTAGCCCAAAAGACTCACTATAACAAGTGAATTGTCAGAAACATTGATAAAAAAAAAACAACTAATAAAATTACTTACTTTGGATGTAGAGATATGAGATCATCATCTAGGGGTTTAGGCACATATGGAATATCTGGCATCTTTTGAATGGGTGAATATCCAGGCAAATGCATTTTGGTCATGTACTCTTTATGCAAGACAGCTCCTTCAAAACACTTATTCATGGAAGTTATTAGACAAATGTCAATTTCATCTCTTTCCCAATAACTACAAAAATCGTCCTCAGTATCATCAAAACTTGCAACACTCTCTGGATTTGGAGAGAAACATGGTGAATTTAAAATACTATCCAGGGAATCATCAGATACAGCATCAAGATAGTCATAATCCTCATTATTATTTGTCATAACTTGATCTGAATCAACTGATAAATCTTCATTTTCAGTCACACATGGTGAGGCTTGTGGAACAATCAGTTCTTTGCCATTTACAATTCTAGTTTTGTCCTCTGTAACTGTAATTTTAAATGTGAAGGGTTTACACACCCTTTTGGCCCTTGGGTGGCTGAAAATTGCAAGATAATATTATAATGAAACAAAAGATTATGTTATTCGTTTTAAACTTACCAGTTACCAGTTTGGCTTGTGAATCCATGGAATCATTGGATATTCCACTGTCACTGCCAGTGCGTTTTAAACTACGTTTGCTTTGAGGAAACTTTTTATCCATTTCCTCTAGAGTCAAGTTTACGAGGAGCTAAAAACATAGGTAATTACAATTACCTACGTTGTATTACCGTTCATCGGTTTAATTATTTCAAAATTATGTGATAATTGTGAACAAATGATATATGCACTTCAAGTTGACATAGCTCACGATTTGTTTGTTGGACAACCAAGAAACAACATTTTTAAAACAATGTTGTAGGTTAGAACCAAAGAACGCACCGGGCATGTATGAGAACTTAAACTTTTCGTCTGTATGTGGGCGCTGTTAAGTCAGCAGAAACTGCCGTCTTTCAGGAAGTGGTGAGATTACGAAGCACTGCCATGCTACTATCAACAATACAATACGAATACAATCTTCATGTTTTTTATGGCACTGTGATGCTGTAAACATTTTAGTTGGCCAGGGAAATTCGAAACGGTTACAAATTTAAAGCTTTGGAAAGCACGTTGAAGACCAGATGTCCAATAAACATATATGGTAATAAATTACAAATAGACAAGAATTAAGCAAAACAAAATTGCAAAATTAAATGATTCCATATAGATTAATATACAAAATCATCTGGTTTTAATTAATATTTGCATATAATTTAATAATCTATTTTGTATTTATTTTGGATGTTGGGTGCATATTTGGTTGCCTAGCGCAATGCGCCTGTGCAAATGAGTTGTAAAAGAAACAACTGTCGACTAGCGAGTGTACGGAGTGAACGAAACAATCGCTAAACGACTTGACAGATGGTAGTTGGCGATAGAAGTGATAGAAGTGATAGGCCGTGATAGACACAAGATATGTGCACACACGCGAAAGTGCAATGCAAGCCGCGCCGACCGCGGGAATGATGAGTGCATACAAATAACGGCCGTGCTGCTGCTGCCCCGTTTTTATACCCCGACGCGCGCCCGGTGGTCGGCGGCCCTCGCACGATAATGTCCACGGAGAGCGACGAGATGGACATCCACCAGGAGCTGCGCAACATCGAGAGCGTCATCAATCTGACGCGGCGCAACGTCGACGACCTGAACGCGCGCTTCGTCGACTTCCAGCAGCCGCCGGCGATGTACCTCAAAGAGTACGACGACCTCACCATGAAGCTGCACGAGCTGGAGGCGCAGAAACAGACACTGCTGGAGCGCGTCAACGGCGCCGACGAGGAGCAGCAGCCGGCGGCACCGCAACGGCGCGGAGGACACACCGACACGCTCACCAGGCCTAAGTTCCTGCGAGCGCACCTGCCCAATCAACAGCGCAGCAGCGTGCCGGTGCGCGAGGGCCAGACGCTCCGGGAGGCGCTCGCCAAAAGCCATGAAACTACGCAATCTCTACTAGAGATGTGCGTATGCGTGTATGCGGGCGACACCGAGGAGATCATCAACTGGGATGTAGACATCAGCACGATCGAGTGTGATGAAATCACGGTGAAAATATTGGACAAGTTTCCGATACCGATTAGTATTTCGCATAATTTCGTGCGGAAAACGTTTTTCTCGCTGGTATTCTGCGAGTCCTGCAAGCGGCTGTTGTTTCAAGGGTTCCAATGTCGTACGTGTGGCTACAAATTTCATCAGAGATGTGCCAATGGTGTTCCTTCATTGTGCCATCATGTAAGTGACTAAAACAAAACATTTCACCACATATTTAATGTATTACTTTGCAGGTGAGGCGAGCTGATGACTACTACAGAGCACTACTAGCGCGCCCTGCTGAAACATCAGCGGGAATCTTACATCCGGGCCAAGCAGGCCTCGAGTTAGGCGGACATCCAACCGCGTGTAGAACAGGAACACTAGGACATCAAGATCGTTCGAATTCGGCGCCCAATGTGTGTATAAATAGCGTAAAAACCTCCGGAGATGATTGTCCACGTTCACTATCACTGAATCGCGGTGGTTTGCCCGACGATGAGCATGCACAGTTATTTATAAGCACACAACCATCGCCAACGAGCTCGGTGCTGCCGCGTAGGCCACGTGCGCGTTCAGCGGACGAGAGCAAACCTCTACTTGCGCCACGTGAGAGCATCGAAGACTGGGAGATACCCGCCGATGAGATAATCGTCGGCGGACGTGTGGGTTCTGGTAGTTTTGGTACTGTCTACAAAGCGCGCTGGCATGGCCCGGTGGCTGTAAAAACTCTCCGCGTGAAAATCCCGACGATTGCGCAGCTACAAGCGTTCAAAAACGAGGTGGCTGTGCTGCGGAAGACGCGGCACGTCAATATCCTACTCTTTATGGGCTGTGTTTCCAAGCCGACCTTAGCGATTGTTACACAATGGTGCGACAGCTCCAGTCTGTACAAGCATCTGCATATTTTCGAGTCCAAGTTTGAACTGTTGACGCTCATTGAGATCAGCCGGCAGACAGCGCAGGGTATGGATTACCTGCATGCGAAAAACATCATTCACCGCGATTTGAAATCGAATAATATCTTTCTGCACGATGATCTGACGGTGAAAATCGGTGATTTTGGACTGGCGACGGCGAAGACGCGTTGGTCGGGTAGTCAACAGTTTCATCAACCCACAGGTTCGATTCTTTGGATGGCGCCTGAAGTAATTCGGATGCAGGAAGACAATCCGTATAGTTTTCAGTCGGACGTTTACGCTTTCGGCATTGTGCTGTTCGAAATGCTCGCTATGCAACTGCCCTATGGACACATCAACAACAAGGATCAGATTCTGTACATGGTTGGTCGCGGTTATGTCTCGCCGGATTTGAAAAAGTTGCGTAAGGATGCGACGAAAGGACTGCGCTTACTGTTAGAGAGATGTATTCGGTTTGTGCGCGACGAACGGCCGCAATTCAGTGAGATACGCGCCTCGCTGGAGGAGCAGCTGCGCTGCCTGCCGAAGATCCATCGGTCCACGTCCGAGCCGAATCTCAATCGCACGCAGCTGCAGTCGGACGAGTTCTACTATGCGTGCGCCAGCCCCAAAACCCCAGTCAATTTCGGGCCGGCCAACAATTTCCTCTTTTTATTCGCCCGGCACGACCATTTAAGCAGGCAAACGAACGTTCTCGTCGTTGAAACGAATCGAAACAAACAAATAAAGTGCGATTCCGTACGGTCTATGCCGATATTCGTCGAGTATCGGATATTATTTTAACGATTGCCACACTCCAAGCAGGATTTCGAACGTTATTTATTTTAATTTATGATTACATTCGAACGGAAACGAAAGTCAAACGAAACGATACACTTGCTTTCGATGATGATGATGATAATTCTACGCTACATTTTTGTATTAAGCACGTTATTATCGGTTTTGTTTGGTCATAATTGTGATTGAGTGTGAATATTTATGCCTTGGAAGAGATGATCAAGCTTGATGATTTTCTGGCGCGTAAATGATTGTCATGTAAAGTAATATACATATACTGGAAGATTTTACTTTCATTATTCCTTCTCCGCAAGATTTCGCTCGGTTTTCCTTCGATTGTGTGAGACTCACGAAATTGCGAATCGATTCGGTTGCTTTGTTAATAAATTAATGCATTTGTGCATGTGTGCTGTTTTGTTTTGCGTTAATATGCGGTGTCGGATGTAAATTGACCTAATTGAATAATTACCACCTTGTCGCGGCCATGCAGTTTGTACTTCTGTGAAAATGTCAAATTCTGCGTGTGTTGAAACGCATTTGTGCGCAAAACTGTCGAGCGATCTGATTTCAAGAGTGATTATTACAGCATTCAAATATCAACGCGATATTTTTTTTACTTGTACATACATATTAGTATTTTATTGATCATATTAACATTACAATTATCTTTGGACATCTTGAAAAATCGTTGGACAATGGCAGCGATCATATATATGATTTTTTGGCTCTAAATCAACATCTAGATCAGTGTTTCAGAGTCTTTAAAATATATTCTTTGATTTCCTTTATCTGTGATTAATACTTCATTAGCCAAGTCAATTTTTGCATTCAGCCGCCGCAGTAAATCAATTCCAATCACACCAGCAAATTCCGTTGATATGTCAAACACGTAAAAAACTGTGAAATATATTTTCGAAACAATTTAAACGCACATTCAACTTTTGATTATGTTTGGATTCACCATGTGGCGTTATCACTACAAAGTCTTCAAGTTCGAACGCTAGTTCTTCATCAAATTGTTCTTTCACTGTTTTAT